GCTGGCTAGGTTTAACCTTGAAAAGAGGAGGCCAAGAAGAGGCAAGATAGCCAATTTCAAATTTTGAAAAATAAATTTCAAAAACCAAGCAGAGGGCCTTCTCGGTAGTGGCGCCCTCCCTGTGGAATGGCCTTCCTTCAGCTGTCAAGGAGATAAAAGAATTACACAACTTTTAGAAGACACCTGAAGGCAGGCCTGTGTAGGGAGGTTTTTAAAGCTTGATGTTTGTTTTGGTTTTGTTTTTTATTTTATTTTTAGTTATTCTGTAAGCTGCCCATAGTGGTCATGTGAAAGATGGAACAAACTTGTTCTCTCCTGTTTTGGAGGGCAAGACTGGAACCAATGTTTTTTTAGCCCAAGACAACAGGTCTCCGGAGGGACGCGGGTGGCGCTGTGGGTTAAACCACAGAGCCTAGGACTTGCCGATCAGAAGGTCGGCGGTTCAAATCCTCATTATGGGGTGAGCTCCCGTTGCTCGGTCCCTGCTCCTGCCAACCTAGCAGATCGAAAGCACGAGAAAGTGCAAGTAGATAAAAAGGTACCCTTCCGGCGGGAAGGTAAACGGCGTTTCCGTGCGCTGCTCTGGTTTGCCAGAAGCATCCCATGGGACGATGCCAAGGGCTTTCTGGCCTCCTTTGAGCGGGTGGCCCAAGGGAGAGTGGGCGGCCAGGCTGCTGCCAGCCCTCCGAGGAGGGGCCGAGTGGGCCTTTGGCAGCCTGGAGGCCAGCGACAGAGAGGATTATGGGGAAGTGAAGGCGGCCATCTTGCGCGGGGACACCACCGCCCAGGAGAAGCAGCGGCAGCAGCACTTCCGCCGCTTCTGCTACCAGGAGGCCGAGGGGCGAGGCCTATGGCCGCCTCCAGGAGCTCTGCCGTGGGTGGTTAAAAGTGGACCGGCACACCAAGGAGCAGATTCTGGAACTGCTGATCCTGGAGCAGTTCCTGGCTATCCTGCCGCCCGAGGTCCAGGGCTGGGTCAGGGAGGCCGGGCCTGAGAGCTGCTCCCAGGCAGTGGCCCTGGCCGAGGAAGACCTCCAGGCGCAACGGGAAGCTGAGGGGCAGGAGCTCACATGCGCCTTGGGGCTGTGTTGCTGGGGGGCTCCTGGGGGGCTGATCCTGCCACTCCCTGGGTTGTTAACCAAGAGAGCGAAGCCTGTCCGTTTCATGCTGATTAAGGAGGGGAAGTCCAATTCTATGCCCCTAGCTCACTCAGGGAAACACTTAATCTCAGGGTTGCGGGTTCAAGTCCCGTTTGGGGGCAAAAGATTCCTGCGTTGCAAGGGGTTGGACTAGATGACCCTCAGGATCCCTTCCAACTCTATGATTCCTGTGCTCTTCTAGGCATACTCCCCAAGTGTCCCTTGTCTCCAATGACAGTTCTGGAATTATGAAAGCCATCCCAGCTTCTGATTTGATCCTGGACTGTCCCTAATTCCGCTGCCAGTGCCGAGATCGGGGAATAGTATGAGCTGGCCCTTGTCCCAAGCCATGGCGGCTGCGGCGGCTGTGAGAGGGCATCCTGTTGCCTCTCCATGGCCTCTCCACGGCCGCTGCTACCAGCTTCCTCCCTTGGGCAGCTGCTAGTGGCTGCTAGATAGCGGGTGGGGAGGAGAGGCCACCACCATTAAGGCCCTGTTTGACGCGCCAGCTCTGAGGGGGAGGCAGAGGACAAGAAGAAAGAAAGAAAGAAATATTTAGCTGGGAAAGAAGAAAGGGGGAGTGGAGCAGAGCACAAGGAATCTTGATTTTTGGACAGTGAAACCTCAGTTTTCGAGCATATCGGATGCTGAACGATTCGGAACCCGAACGCCGAAAACTCGGAAGCAATTCTTTTCGTTTCAAAGTCAAACGGCTTCCGAGTCGCATTTCTCCATTTTTTCAAGGGATTTCACGCCCATTGCGCCTCGGCTGTCGAACGTTTTGGAAGTCGAACGGTCTTCAGGAACGGATTACGTTTCAAAAACTGCTGTATTTGAAAAAAGTGATTTGTGCGTCTGCATCTAATCTTGCCCCTTTCTAAAATGTATTCATTGGCGTGTGCTTCTCTTTTTGTCAATTGACCAAAAAAGAAAGCCGGGGTGAAGGGTTTTTCTCAGGAGGGCGTTTGTGCTGCATCCCCTTGGTGTGGTTGTGGTGGAAATGCTCTGCTGGGATGGGTTGGGGAACAAAAATGGGGGTTGGGGATGAGGAGGGTCAGTTGAGTGGGGAGTGACAAATGCCCCTCTTTTCATCTAAGGAACGTTGGAGGGTATGGCTGGGTGATGGCTTCAGGGTGGGGTTTGAGGGAGGCTCTGGGTTTTCCGCCCAGGCCTCTCCCTCCTTGCCCTGTTGCTCTGTCCTGACAGGGTTCCTTCCTGATGTTGCAGGTGGGATTTGAGGAGGCCGCCGCAGATGTCTCTGAGGAAGTGCCGTCCGCAGATGTCGAACAGAGGCCCCTATACGTGGAGGCCAAGCAGGAAGGTGCAAGTGAGGCCCAACTGGCAGGGAAGTAGGGCCGGATTTAGAGTCGTGCCCCCTGGATCATGCACCTTCATTGTATTGCTCCCATCACAGGCTGAAGACACCACCACTTTGGCTTCGCGTGTGCAGAGGAGGGCAACTAGGATGATCTAGAAGCTAAGCCTTGTGAGGAACGGTTGAAGGAGCTGGGGATGTTTAGCCTGCAAAAGAGGAGACTGAGAGGAGATATGGTAGCCATCTTCAAAGATGGCTGTCACATGGAGGGTGGAGCAAGCTTGTTTCCTCCTGCTCTGGAAGGTAGGATTCAAACCAGTGGCTTCAAGTTGCAGGAAAGGAGTTGGATGGGCATCTGCCATGGATGCTTGAGCTGAGATTCCTGCCTTGCAGGGGGTTGGACTAGATGACCCTCGGGTCCCTTACAACTCTATGATTCTATGATCCAAGAGACACGTTTTTCAGGTCACAGCAGATCGCTGTGACTGTAAATTGTTTTGAACTGCTTTTAGCATTGATTTTTTTTTCTTTATTACGGTCCAGAGACCCAACAAATTGTTACAAAGCAATGCACAATTCAGACAGCCTACCTCCAGGTTAAACAAGCATTTTGTTCAGACTTAAAGACAGGGATCATTGGTTCTTGCAACCACCGATAAAAACTTTGCCACTGCTAATGTTCTAGCGTTTGTCCGGTCTTCCAATAGGAACCTGACATAATGAGCCTCTGATTTTCCCAGGAAAGGTACCAGCAAGGGTAATATCAGTTCAGCCTTGGCTTGCTCATGTTTCGCAGCAAAATATGTTTTATAGAATCGATGTCTTGAGCACATGAGCAAAGTCTGTCCTGGTAGGGAACTCCTCTCAACCTGCCATCCAACACTGCAGAAGGAAAGACGTTTAGTCTGGCTTTGGTGAACAACCTTAGATAATTTGGTACTGAATTTTAAATTTCTGTAGTCCACTGAGGGACGTTAGGGTGAAGAAATCAAATTAAGAGAAGTAAGAGACATAACCTTCTTTTTCTCATTTATTCAGCAGGTAAAAGGTGGGTGGGCATACCTGAGGGAGAGAGATACACACCTGAAGATGCTGAGGGGTTTTCCGGAGGGAGAGCAGAGGAGGAGAACTTTTCCTCGTCCTCTGTCGTCCCCTTCTCCTTGTGCCCTCCATCTTTCCCAACATCAGGGTCTTTTCCAGGGAGTCTTCTCTTCTCACGAGGTGGCCAAAGTATTGGAGCCTCAGCTTCACGATCTGTCCTTCCAGTGAGCACTCAGGGCTGATCTCCTTAAGAATGGATACGTTTGATCTTCTTGCAGTCCAAGGGACTCTCAAGAATCTCCTCCAGCACCATAATTCAAAAGCATCAATTCTTCGGCGATCAGTCTTTTTGATGGTCCAGCTCTCACTTCCATACATCACTACTGGGAAAACCATGGCTTTAACTATACGGACCTTTGTTGGTAAGGTGATGTCTCTGCTTTTTAAGATGCTGTCTAGGTTTGCCATCGCCTTTCTCCCAAGGAGCAGGAGTCTTAATAATAATAATAATAATAATAATAATAATAATAATAATAATAATATATTTGTCCCGCCCATCTGGCTGGGTTACCCCAGCCACTCTGAGCGGCTTCCAACCAAATATTAAAAACAATACAGCATCAGACATTAAAAACGTCCCTAAGAAGGGCCGCCTTCAGTTTCCTTCTAAAAGTCAGATAGTTTTTTACTTCCTTGACATCTGATGGAAAGGCGTTCCACAGGGCTGGTGCCACTACCAAGAGGGCCCTCTCCCTGGTTCCCTGGAACCTCACTTCTTGCAAGGAGGGAACCTCAGTGTCCAGGCAGAACGATGGGGGTGGAGACGCTCCTTCAGGTACACTGGGCTGAGGCCATTTAGGGTTTGAAAGGTCAGCACCAACACTTTGAATTGTGCTTGGAAACGTACTGGGAGGTGCTTTATTACCCCTTTGGAGGCATTTTATGCTGCAGGTGCTTTTCTTATTTCCAGTTGGAAAGTAGAATTTGAAATTTGGGGACTTCTATGGAAGACAATTTGGGACAGTTCTCTGGTAGGATTATCCTGTAGGCTTACTTACGTCTGAATTGCACAATGCAAACTGGATTAAAGTTAATAAATTATAATCTAAGACAAGAGATGGGATGGAATCTTCTCCTGAACCCACAAATATTAAATTTCCCAAAAATGCTGGTGGATTTTCATAAGGATTCTTAAAAAACAATTGTAAACAGATGTGGAAATGTGGAGAACTTGATACTGGAAAAATTAATAATTTCAGACCGTGAGAAACCAAAACTGGCTGATTCAGCCATTCCTACCCAAAACCTTGGCATGTGCCAGGCAGACTGACATCCGAGGGCCAGGGTCTGAGGGGGTCTTCCTAGTGTGGCCTGTGGTGTGCAGTGAATTCCCTTCTCTTTTCCCCTCTAGGATGTGAGAAGCACCTTGCAGAGGTAAGTGGATCTGGCTCATTTCCATTAGCTTCACTCTTTGAAGCTGAGATGCAGGAACCTCAGACATGGCCCTCCAGGGGCTGCAGGGGGAGACTGGAGGACTCACTCCCTGAGGCATCTCACAGGTAAAAGCAGGGGCCCCTCTTTGGAACTTGACAATGGGTAGATCACAGTTGGTCTTTTTATACTGTGAGTAGATCACAGTCTCTTGGGAGTTGGACGTGCCTGCCTTAGCTGTTTCCTTCTAGACTGACCAGTTCAGTCACTCTGCCGGCCACCCCACCCTGTCCCAAGCAAACTCCTGCCCCATAGAGCCCCTTGGGAGGGGGCGATTTCTCACCAAGGAGCAGGAATTGGCTATTTTCTTGACCATATTCCGGCTGCAGTATTTATATTGAAGGAATCACTCAGGTGCAGAGTAGAGGTTTGAAGGAACATTTCTTGTTTCCCAACAAAAGTGCATCTCTTTTTCTTCCTCTCCCCTTCTCTGGGGACATCTAGAGAAAGGACATGTGTGCTGTGCTCTCACCACCCTCAGACAATTCCTGCCCCTTGATACCATAGGATTCTGCTGCTGCTTTGAATAGACATCAGTGGGGAGACTCAGAGGCCTGGGGTTGCTGTTTTGGCCCTTGGGGGTCTGGCTGAGGAGTCCGTAGTGAGGAAGAAACTCCCCACTCAGCGCATGCCTGTCCCTCTAGGCCTCCTCCCAATTCCTTTCTTTTCCTTTAACAGAAATTGCAGATTTGAATGGGCTGACATTGTTCTTCTTTTCACCAGGTATGATGAGAAAAGAGAGAGTCCAGAGAAGCCACTGCCTTTCCCTCCAGAGCTGAGGAACAGGGTCTTGGAATCCTGTGATCTAAATCACCTTGTGGAGGATGCAATGAAGCAATGGGAAGGTAATGGAAATTGGCTGCCAGGATTTCACACTGGGATTTCTATTATTTCTTCAGAACTGAACATGCCAGGCTCTTACTGCATGGAATTGCGTAACCCCAGGATACCTTCCTTCTTGGGGCTCCAGCCTTCATTTCCTGTCCCCCCAGAATGGCGCTGGATCCTGTAAAGGAAGCCTGAACCAGAGGGTATCTCTTTTCAATTCTACGGAACCTCCTTTTCCTTTTGGTTACCAGTCTACATAAATCTGGGGTTGTCCTTTGGGAGGTTCTCCTGCTCTGAATGGAGTCAATTCAAGGATGCTACATTATGAAGTGTTACTTTTGTATGGAGATTTATCTCAGGTGGAAGAGTGTTGCCCTTACACGTTATATCTTTTTGCTTCCTCAGATGCTGTGTTATACAGAAAACAGACTCAGAAAGGTAAATTTCCAGGGGAGGAACAATTTGACAGGAGGGATGGGGACTGATATTTCATGGTGTTAAACCGTCTGTTCTGCAGACTTTGGGACCCCCATCAATGGCGTCACTCTGGGAAACAGTCCTCTAGTGGTGTTTGGGTTCTTGGTCTGTCCCATGAATGAACTGGGAGAGGGTTTGAAGGCTTGGATTGGGGGCAGAGCTTGTCCCTGTGAAGAACCTGCACACCAGTCTGAGTTCCATTCCTGCCTATAGACTAGGATCCTGGTTTCACTCTCGATTTTATAGATTTTGCTTTCTTTCATAAAATCTGTATACTGCTTGTTTGTAGGGAAAACCCTCAGAGTCTTACAATATCTTACAAAACCTTAAGGAGGATCCTGCAGGGTCAGTCCAATGTCCATCTTGTCGCGTTCTCATGTATAAGGAATCTCCCTTGCATTTTGTTTTCCCTCCACACAATCTGCAGAGGTTCTTTGGGGGCTTTTGAGATCAGCCCCATTCCCGGCAGGAGGACTTCCCATTGCATGAGACCTTTGGAATTACAGGGTACAGCTCTGCCGATTCTTCCTCTGGTTTGTCAGCATGCTTGGAAATTCCGGTTTCAACAGCTTTTCCCCACTAGTTCACTTGGCGCAGATAGAATCATAGAATCATAGAGTTGGAAGAGACCACAAGGGCCATCGAGTCCAACCCCCTGCCAAGCAGGAAACACCATCAGAGCACTCCTGACATATGGTTGTCAAGTCTCTGCTTAAAGACCTCCAAAGAAGGAGACTCCACCACACTCCTTGGCAGCAAATTCCACTGTCGAACAGCTCTTACTGTCAGGAAGTTCTTCCTAATGTTGAGGTGGAATCTTCTTTCTTGTAGTTTGGATCCATTGCTCCGTGTCCGTTTCTCTGGAGCAGCAGAAAACAACCTTTCTCCCTCCTCTATGTGACATCCTTTTATATATTTGAACATGGCTAGCATATCACCCCTTAACCTCCTCTTCTCCAGGCTAAACATGCCCAGCTCCCTTAGCCGTTCCTCATAAGGCATCGTTTCCAGGCCTTTGACCATTTTGGTTGCCCTCCTGGACACGTTCCAGTTTGTCAGTGTCCTTCTTGAACTGTGGTGCCCAGAACTGGACACAGTACTCCAGGTGAGGTCTGACCAGAGCAGAATACAGTGGCACTATTACTTCCCTTGATCTAGATGCTATACTCCTATTGATGCAGCCCAGAATTGCATTGGCTTTTTTAGCTGCCGCGACACACTGTTGGCTCATGTCAAGTTTGTGGTCAACCAAGACTCCTAGATCCTTTTCACATGTACTGCTCTCAAGCCAGATGTTAACCTTCCTCCAGCCATTCAGTACAGATTCCCATTTCATTCATGGATTCTGAATGATTGTATTCCACCATTTTCTAGCATGGTTTACCATTTCTGATTTCCTCATGGAATCATGGAATAGTAGAGTTTGAAAGGATCCCAAGGGTCATCTAGTCCATGGGTAGGCAAACTAAGGCCCAGGAGCTGGATCTGGCCCAATCTCCTTCTAAATCTGGCCCGCGGACTGTCTGGGAATCATCGTGTTTTTACATAAGTAGAATGTGTCCTTTTATTTAAAATGCATCTCCGAGTTATTTGTGGGGCATAGGATTTTGTTGTTGTTTTTTTCCAAAATACAGTGGCACCTTGGGTTACAGATGCTTCAGGTTACAGACTCTGCTCACCCATTTCCTTCAGAATGGACCGGTTTGATCCTCTTGCAGTCCATGGGACTCTCAAGAGTCTCCTCCATCACCATAATTCAAAAGCATAAATTTCCCAACTCCTACTTGCATGCAAGCAGGAGCGGGGCGGGGATCTCTCAGCTGTGAAGGGAGGCTTCACGCTGCCTATCGGAGCTTGCGTGCAAGCAGGAGGGGGCAGGATCTCTCAGTTAGGCAACGGGAAGCCTCCCTTTCCAGCTGAGGGATCCCTGCTCCCTCCTGCTAGCACGCAAGTAGGAATGGGATTGGGGCCGCTCCGATGGGATGGGAGGCATCGTGCTGCCTGAGCCTCGCCGCTGCTGCTGCTCTTGGCCCTCCTCCGCCTTGTATGCCAGACCCACTGCGCACTGCTTCCCCACCACCACCACCGAAGAACGTACAACTTAGGGCCTGCCCAGGCTCATGGAGAAAGGAGAAGGGGAAACATGGCGGTTGAGGTCAAGGCGGTGGACGCCCCTCTGCCAGCCCACCACCATCGCTGCAGTAGCAACATCCCAAACGTGTAGTAAGTATGTATGTATGTATGTATGTATGTATGTATGTATGTATAGGGTCCCCAGATTCATTGAAAAAAATCTGAACAACCTTAGATAATTTGGTACTGAATTTTAAATTTCTGTAGTCCAACATTTAAATTGTAGACCGCCTTTTCTGTGATGTAGGTATGATGTATGGACGGGTAGTCTTGAGTGACAGGGCAGGGAATTTAAAATGTCTATATAAGGCCTTGCGCACCATTGTTCTGGGTTCCCTATTAGGGACTTTGTCTTCTTTCCATCTCTGGGCCAGTAACAACCGGGTGGCTGTCGTCGCATACATAAAAAGTATTTTCTGCTCCCTTGGAATATCGGCACCTACAATTCCTAATAGAAAAACCTCTGCTCCCCCCCCCAAGTTAATTTAAACATTTAAATTGTGCCATTGCTGGGATTCTTTGGTCTCAACATCTCCTCTCTCGACTCCTTCCAGGCTTACCTGGAGTTCTTCACCTCCAGCGAGAACGTCAGAGCCCTCCGAAGAACTACGGCCAGCGAGTGAATTACCACATTGTCAATGTCAAGGTGCGTCCTTCCTCAGTGCCAGATTACCAAACAGACAGACTGGGCACTGGCCTACGAGCCTAGGGGCCCCTCAACAACGGATCAAAATAATATTGATTGGCATGGTTGGCCAATTGGTGTCAAGGAAGGACAGGATGTTTTTTATGTATGCTACCACAGCAGCAAGGGTTCTTTTAGCAAAGTATTGGAAGACACAAGAACTACCCACGCTGGAAGAATGGCAGAAGAAGGTGATTGATTATATGGGACTGGCGGAGATGACTGGCAGAATCCGTGATCAAGGAAAAGAGACGGCGGAAGAAGATTGGAAGAAATTTAAAGTATATCTTAAGAACTGTTGTAAAATTAATGAGTGCTAGAATGCCATGGGTAAAGAAACACTATAGAAGTACAGCTGTAAATGATTAAGAGAAGAAGGGGGGAAAAAATAAAGAAAATGAGTAATCAGTTAATTGAAGTGAGGTGTTGCTGAAGAAATTTTAAAATAGGGATGCAGAAAGGGGAGGCATGGGGAAGTCGGGGAAGTAAGATTTATGAAAAAGAGGTTTTGAAATTATACGTGTTTATATGTTTGTTTGTCTATGTATTGTGTTTTGTATTGTTTTTAATTTATGTTGGAAAATTAATAAAAATTTATGGAAAAAACAAAAAAACAACAAAATAATATTGATTTGATCTTGAAAGAAAATTGGGAAATAATTTGTGAGGGGGCCTGCGAGATTCTGACTGCCTAGGAGCCTCCACTGGGTTTAATCCGACCCTGGTCCTTCCTCTGGTAGGCTGGCAGTGAAAACGTTTCCGTGGAAACTTGGGATGCTTGGACTGAGAGCGTATGTGGGGAGCAAACCCTCTGCTTGTGATCTCTGGAGAATATTTTGAGAACTGTTCAGCCTCTGCTAGGACAATTGGCATTGGGTTCATGGCTCCTCCTTGTGGCCCAGTTTCAGTGCCTCCTGTTTAGCCAGAGAATCTGATCAGCTGAGCATATCGTTCCCTGGAGGAGTTTTCTGGATGCAGGGAGGAATAATAATAATAATAATAATAATAATAATAATAATAATAATAATTTATTATTTATACGCCACCCATCTGGCTGGGTTTCCCCAGCCACTCCGGGCGGCTTCCAACAGAACACTAAAATACAATAACCTATTAAACATTAAAAGCTTCCCTAAACAGGGCTGCCTTCAGATGTCTTCTAAAAGTTTGGTAGTTTTTTTTCTCTTTGACATCTGGCGGGAGGGCGTTCCACAGGGCAGGCGCCACTACCAAGAAGGCCCTCTGCCTGGTTCCCTGTAACTTGGCTTCTCATTACAAGGGAACCGCCAGAAGGCCCTTGGCGCTTGGACCTCAGTGTCCAGGCAGAACAATGGAGGTGGAGATGCTCCTTCAGGTATACTGGACCGAGGCCTCTTCAGTTGGGCCTGAGATCTGTAAAAAAGAAAAAGAAAAAAGGTAAAGGACCCGTGGATGGTTAAGTCCAGTCAAAGGCGACTATGGGGTTGCGGAGCTCATCTCGCTTTCAGGCCGAGGGAGCCGGTATTTGTCCGCAGACAGCTTTCCGGGTCATGTGGCCTGCAGGACTAAACCGCTACTGGCGCAACGGGACACCGTGACGGAAACCAGAGCGCACAGAAACGCCGTTTACCTTCCCGCCGCAGCAGTACCTATTTATCTACTTGCACTGGGGTGCTTTCGAACTGCTAGGTTGGCAGGAGCTGGGCCCGAGCAACGGGAGCTCACCCCGTGGCGGGGATTCGAACCGCTGACCTCTGATCGGCAAGCCCAAGAGGCTCAATGGTTTAGACCACAGCGCCACCCGTGTCTTGAGATCTGTACAGGCCTGGCAGCAAGTTAACAGGTGTATACAAAACCGTGATGCAGCTGTTTCCCTCTCTTCCTTCTAAACAACCTCCTGTTTCCCGTCGGTAGGGTGAGAACATCACCAACGCGCATGAAATGCAACCCAATGCTGTAACGTGGGGCATCTTCCCCGGCAGAGAGATCATTCAGCCAACGGTTGTAGACCCGGTTAGCTTCATGTACTGGAAGGTAAGAGGGTTATTGTTCCCTGCCCTGCCCCAAACACCCAGGAAACTCTTAGCCTGTTGGTACAGATCTGGGGCTTTGGTACATTTCCGTGGAAAATGTATGTGGACAGAAGTACAAGGTGCCAATTACTATTCCCTAGAACTTGTGGTACCGGGGTACCTCTGCTCCTCTAATAACAACTTGGGGGTAGAACCCCCACTTTTGCCTGCACAGGTTCAGTGAACTCATAGGTCTGTATCAAGTCATAAGAACATAAGAACCCGCTGGATCAGAGCAGTGGCCCATCGATGATGATGATGGTGGTGGTGGATAGGCAAACTAAGGCCCGGGGGCCGGATCCGGCCCAATTGCCTTCTAAATCCGGCCCATGGATGGTCCAGGAATCAGTGTGTTTTTACATGAGTAGAATGTGTCCTTTTCTTTAAAATGCATCTAGGTTATTTGTGGGGCATAGGAATTCATTCATTCCCCCCCCCCAAAAAAATATAGTTCAGCCCCCCAAAAAGTTTCAGGGACAGTAGACTGGCCCCCTGCTGAAAAAGTTTGCTGACCCCTGATAATGATGACTGACTGATTGATTGATTGATTGATTGAGTTTATATACCGCCCTATACCCGGAGGTCTCAGGGTGGTTCACAGACAAATATAATCAGAATAAAAACAACAACCCAATAATACCCTACTCAGAAAAGAGCCACATTTTAAAAGGGTATAGGATAAGGTTACCAGACGTCCCCGTTTTCCTGTGGACAGTCCCCAGATTTACAAATCAGTCCCCTGACAAAATCGTATCATTCCTATTGAAATTGAAAAGTGTCCCCAGATTCATTGAAAAAAATCTGGTAACCTTAGTATAGGATATTAAACAGATCAGCCAAAGGCCTGGTTAAAAAGGAACATTTTTGCCTGGCACTGGAAGGTGTGTAATGAAGGCGCCAGGCGAACTTCCCTGGGGAGAGCATTCCACAGACGGGGAGCCACTGCAGAGAAGGCCCGGTTCTCGTGTTGCCACCCTCTGGACCTCTCAAGGAGGAGGCGCACAAAGGAGAGCCTCAGAAGATGATCTCAGGGTCAGGGTAGGTTCATATGGTCACATCTAGTCACATTGGCTAAGCAGGGGCCTTTTCTGAATGCTAAGGGCCATAGCTCAGGGGTAGAGCATATGCTTTGGATGCAGGAGGGGCTCAGGTTCATTTCTCAGCACCTCCAGGTAGAGCTGGCAAATGTCCCTGTTTATGCAACACTGGAGAGCTGCTGCCAGTTAGTAGAGGCAGTGCTGAGCGTGACAGACCAAATAGTCTGGCTCTGTCTAAGGCAGCTTCTTCTGCCTGTAGCTCAGCGCAAGGGTATCTGCTTTGCACGCAGAATGCCCCGAGTTCAGTCTCTGGCATCTCCGGGTAGAACTGGGGGAGAACCCAGCCTGAAACCCTGGAGAGCCACTGCTGGCCATAGCAGGCAACACTGAGCGAGTTGCGCCGATAAGTCTGAGTCTGCATAATGCAGCCTCTTCCAGACGCTCATTCCCTGAGATCATCCTCCGAGACCCTCCTTCGTGTGCCTCCTCCTTGAGAGGTCTGGAGGGTCGCAACACGAGAACGGGGCCTTTACTGCAGTGGCTCCCCATCCATGGAATGCTCTCCCCAGGCAAGTTCGCCTGGTGCCTTCATTTTTTTTAAAAAAAATATTATTCATTTTTCATTTTCGTTCATTACATACATCTCAAATTCTCAAAGACTTCCCCCAACTTTTTTGGTTTATTTCTATTTTTACCCACTTTGCTATAATTATCCACCTTTAGGTGCCAAGCAGAAACGTTCCTTTTTAGTGCAGGCCCTTGGTTGATCCGATTTGCATCCTAGGCCCTTTTAAAATGTTTTTGTTTTTTTATTATGTATTTTGTGATTTTATATCTTGATTTTATTCTGTGGACCACCCTGAGACCCCCGGGTATAGGGCGGTATATAAATTCAATAAATAATAATAATAATAATTCGTTTCCCATAGTTCCTCCTGCACTCCCACCCCCACCTCAAATTGTTTTTAAGTGTGACCTGCTTCTCTCTCTCTGCCCCCCTCGGACAGGATGAGGCCTTTGCCCTGTGGATTGAGCAGTGGGCGAAGCTGTATGAAGAGGAGTCCCCCTCTCGCATGATCCTCCAGTACATGCACGACAACTATTACCTGGTCAACTTGGTGGACAACGACTTCCCCCTGGACAGCTGCCTCTGGCAGGTCTTGGAAGACATGCACACACTCTTGAACTGTCCGGCAGAACCTTGAAAGTTGAGAAAAGGCACGCAGCCTCCCAGATTTGGCTGGCAGCATAGTCAAAAACCTTAGGGATGCGAGGTTGGAACTACAGTGGCCCAGACACTCCTCTAGGGGGCGCCGTTGGCTGAATTTCCCCCCATTGCCTTCAGAGCGGGAGGCCGGTTAAGACAGGCACATCTCCCTTCTGATCCAAAAGACTCTGAGGATGTTTTCGAGCCCTTCTTGGGTTATTACAATCCCTTTTCCCCTTATACTAATGGCAGCTAGAAATCCTTATCCCCACCCCAACCCCAAATCTCTGTCTGGCCCACCCCCCATGTTTCTGGGTTGCACTCTAAAAAGAAAGCTTTCAGCTGCTGCTTCAGTGCGCACCCTCTGATCAATGGGACTGATGGCTTCACAAGCCTCTAGTTCAGAACGGGAGTTGCAGAAAATCAGGATGAGCACAGCCGCCTGCGACGCACCTGCCCTCCTCTGGGGAGCCACAGTGTGTGGCCGGCTATTTATTTTGTTTTTATTTTATTATAAAGGTGCAGGATCGTGGTCTTCTTCCTGCGTCTTCTCGTTTTCTCTTGCAGGGGAGGGGGAAGTATTTAAAATGCTTGTAAAGGGAAGGAGAGAAGTGAAATTGAAGTGAAATAAAATGTAGTTGATGCCTACGTTGACTTGCCTTTTAAAAAAGAACGAGAGGAAGAGCTTGGGACTTACTAGGGACTCACGTTGTAGCAGTGTGGCTGGGGGCAGAGCATGGTGAATGCAGGGAGTTATGGTAACGTGGTCCCCCCCAAAAAATCACCCATGGCTGGTGTCCATTGGGATTTGTGGGGCAGAAACACATGGGCGCCGGGCGCCATTTTGAATCAAGATGGCGGAACAAAGCATGACACCGGCATGACTCTACCCATTTGGGGGCATAGTTTCTTGTGATATTGTTGCCAAACTCTACATTAGGGGCACCTGGAGGGAGTGGGGGCACACTTTTTAAGCTGTTGGAAAGCTGGGCACCATTTTGCAACAAGATGGTGGACAGAAGAATCACTTTTGCATGGCTTAGGCCTGTTTGGGGGCACAGGTTCAGCGGCATCTTGAGATAATACAAGAGTTCCTGAGGATTGACGTCAATGTTTGGGTGCCTTTTTGAACCAACATGCCAGATGGAAACGTGACTTCAGCACGACTTTGCCTGATTTTTGGGGTGGCTGGTCCAAACTCACAAATGATGCTATCCGTTTATAAACACATCTCTTTTTGTTGGTTTTTTTAAAAATTCCAAGCACTTTGTGCTAGTCTGTAATAATCCATTTTGAGGCTTAGGGTATATAAACTTCATGAAATATAAATAAAATAAGAAGGGCTATAAACTTTTTTTAAAAAAAATGTTTTATTTTGTTTTTAAACATTCTTATACATTCACATCACTTTCAATTTCTACACTTCTGTGATCGCTTAGATCCCTTGGACTCTGCCCCCCCCATCTAATTACATTTTTCTAATCCATTTTTTACCTTTTTTTTGTAAAAAAAAAGGTAAAGAATGCCTGACAGTTAAGTCCAGTTGCAGACAACTCTGGGGTTGCGATGCTCATCTTGCTTTACTGGCCAAGGGAGCCGATCTTTGTCCGCAGTTTTTCCGGGTCATGTGGCCAGCATGACTAAGCAGCTTCTGGCGAAACCAGAGCAGCACACGGAAATGCCGTTTACCTTCCCGCTGGAGCGGTACCTATTTATCTACTTGCACTTTTGGGTGTGCTTTCGAACCACTAGGTTGGCAGGAGCAGGGACCGAACAACGGGAGCTCACCCCGTGGTGGGGATTCGAACCACCGACCTGATCGGCAAGCCCAAAAGGCTCAGTGGTTTAGACCACAGCACCAGCCGCCTTAGCTTGGCTATAAACTTTTTCTTTCAACCTGAACGGAAGCCGAAAGTCTCAGCACTCTCAAAATACGTGATGTCTGTTACATTGCATTATTGAGTATTAACCCAAATTTTGCACAATCCTTTGTCTTCCAGGTGCAATCTCCCTCTGGCCCCTCTTTTAAGGTCCTTTTGGGATTTGTAGGTGCTTGTCCACCTTTCTGGTCCGGTATAGAGCGAGCATGAATTTATCTGGTACTTTTCCTTTCTCCTTCTGCTCAGTATCTCCCCCACTTGAACCCTAGAGTCCAGGAGCAAACGGCTGATGACACAAGTTAATCCCAACCCGATCGATTACAGGCGGCAGCTAATGAGACGAGAAGCATGTCCCTGAAGACGTAGAAGGAAGCTTCACTTTTTGGGGGTGGCGAAGGCTCAGCTGTTCCCAGCAGGCTCCTTCATCATCAGCCTAATCAGCGGAAAAAGGAACCCAGGGGTGTGAGGAAGAGGAGGCGGAGAGGTCGCCTGCCTATCCAGCATTTAATGAAGAGGTGATGGATGTCACAAAGAGAAGGGAGTTGCGGGTGAGGATTTCCAGCTGGGAAGCAGGCCCTGCAAAAAGTACACACATACACCCACCATCTCCCTTTGTGCTTGCTGCAGGCCGGGACGGCTTCCTGCTAAATGGAGAAAAGCAGCAAGCAGGCCTTAAGCGGGAGGTTGGTGCATGTGTGAGAGAGATACAAGTCTCGTTTTGTTCGATGCCGAGTTCTTTTCCAAGGCTGTGTGGGGACATGGCTGGCGCTGTGGTCTAAACCACTGAGCCCCTTGGGCTTGCCGAGCGGAAGGTTGGCGGTTTGAATCCCCACGACGGGGTGAGCTCCCATTGCTCTCTCCCAGCTCCTGCCAACCTAGCAGTTCGAAAGCACACCAGTGCAAGTAGATAAATAGGTACTGCTCCAGCAGGAAGATAAATGGCGTTTCCGTGCGCTCTGGCTGCCGTCATGGTGTCCGGTGCACCACAAGCGGTTAGTCCTATCATTCTTGTGAAAATCAATTGATGTGAATTTTCCCTAATAGATGCAAGGTTGTTTTTGCAAAGCAGTTCTCCTAGAATAATGCATTCTCATGTGCTACTTTGACCAAAACACATGCATTTTTATGCACAGTTTACCTAGATATAATTTAATTCTGTATGCATTGCTTGGCTGGAGACTTGCATTGCAAATTGGGAAAAGTGCACATTTCAAATATTGTGGGGGGCTTGTATTTTGCTTCATGTAATAATTAATACTTTATCTAGACCCCAACCAATCTGGCTGGGTTTCCCCAGCCACCCTGGGCAGCTATTGTTATGTATTGTATCAAGTTAGCGGATGCGGGTGGCGCTGTGGTCTAACACACTGAGCCTCTTGGCTTGCCGATCAGAAGGTTGGCGGTTCGAAATTCCCTGTGGCGGGTGAGCTCTGTTGCTCTGTCCCTGCTCCTGCCAACCCAACAGTTCAAAAAGCACGCCAGCCCAAGTAGATAAATAGGTACCCGCTCCGGCGGGAAGGTAAACGCGGTTCCGTGACTCTGGTTTCATCACGGTGTCCTGTTGCAGACCAGAAGCAGTTTATCTTGTGCTGTATTCACACCCTCTGTAGGCACCTCCTATCAGTTGGATGTCAAACCAGCGTACCACAGACCATGTTGCAGTATGAAAGGACAATCAAATGTTGATTGACATTGTTCTTTCGCAATGGCACTGAGGAGATGGAGTCTCCGTTGGGCCTTCTTAACCAGCTGGGTTATATTGATTTTCGCAAGTAAGGTCTTGCACTGAGATAAACTACCCAGGAATTTAAAGAAGAGACTCTCTCTCATACTGCCCTCCCAATGTACAGCGGGCTAGTTTCTCTTCCTCCGAAAGTCCAACACTATCTCTTTGTCTTGCTTAAGCGCACAATAAGACCAGGCACAAGACCACTTCCTTCCTCTAGTTCCCAGCATTGAGAAGCATGACTGACTGCCTTTGACCGTGGAAGCAAAGCATTGCCAGAATGGTGGTTAAGTCATCAATAGCTTTCTCCTCCATGTATCTGTCTGGTCCTCTCTTAAAGCCATCCAAGTTGGTGGCCGTCACTGCCTCCTGTGGCAGTGAGTTCCATAGTTTAACAGTTCCACAGCTGTGTGAAAAAGCATTTCTTTATCTCTGCCCTGACTCTTCCCACATTCAGCTTCGCTAGATGACCATGATGTTGTGAGAGGAGGAGAAAAACTTCTCTTTCCACCTCCTCCGAACTGTGCATCGTTTTATAAGCTTCTATCCATGTGGCCTCTCTTCCTCACTTTTCCTCTGAACAAAAAAGTCCCAAAAGCTACCCCAAAAGAATCCCCAAAACAGAAGTTTACCCCACATGCAACTATAATTCCTAGCACCCAGAATTTTTTGGGTGAAGCCCATGCTTTAAATGTAGGCTGCCATCACAGC